GCACACGAAACGATCCTGTTCTTGAGAATGTGGAATTGGATGACATGTTCGTGGACATTGATGATCACATAATAGCATCTTTTTGCAGGGCATCTGAATTTTAAAAATATTTATGTTAATTATAAACCGTATACATATATATGTGAGTGGAAAATAGAAACCAAACAAAACGCTTTTTGGTTTCTAAATTATGTTTTATAACAACCTGACAAAATTAGGACTTTTTTTGAATTCTACAAGCTTGTAAAAAAAAATTATAAGGTTCCGAGTTATTAAAATTGGTTGTTATTAAACTATCATTGTTTAAAGTTAGAATTCAAATCCGTTATCCGTTTTTCTTATTAATTTAGCGGAATTTTACTATTAAATTCAACATCAGACAGATAACGGATCTAAGCTCTAAAATTTAGAAACCAATAAACTGATTTTCTTTGTTTCTATTGACTCACCCCATATAATAAAAATATTTACCATACAGCCACCAAGAGGAGTATATTGTTTGAAATGATTAGGATGGCTAATTTTCGTTTGAATACCGTGATTTTGACATCTAAGTATCAGTTCTGTTCCATAAATATTTTCTATTTAAATAGATAAAGATCAGTTATTTAACGAAAAAAGTAAGTAATAAAAAAACTGTAAATAACAAATATAGATAAAATACCATCCATTGTTTTTTCAATAATAGCATCCCATATTGGAATATTTTTTTTTAATACATCACCGTCACCAAAAATGTATAGACCCCTATTTGCCCTAGACAAAGCTGTATATACAAGATCTTTTGAACTCAATGTTGCTAATGCTTCTTTTTGCAATCGTTGTGGAACAGCAACAAGAGAAAGAATGACAATCTGATTTTCCTCATAACGATAGTCATTGATCAATTGAACATTTATACGTCCTAATCTTTTTTCAGTAATAATTATTTTTTGAGTTAATTCAGTATCATCATTATGTATTCCAATTTCCTTAGTTACAATTTCTCGAATTTTTACGGTTTTCTCCTTAGTGAGTTCAGGAGCCAATAAACTTTTGATTAACTCTTTTTGAGCAATAAATGGAGTGAGAATAGTTATATTTCCAGGGTCAAAATCAGTTGCTTGCTGATAAAGGTAGAAAGCAAACTTCACAACAAATTCCGCTTCAATAGTATTTCTGACATCATCAGAATTTTGGTCATAGTTCTGATGATTAAAGAAATAAACATTAGACGTAGTACCAAGGATTGATAAATTGTTTTTTAAAAATACTAAATCATCAGCAATTCGCTTATAAAATGCACTCAAAAGGTAGTTTATCTGTGGATGTACACGACTTTGTTCCGAAATTCTATAATGTTTGCCACCATTTAAAATCCATCGCTCAAACAAAGAATTACCACAACTTCTATTAATATCACCTATCATAATTAAATGTTCAAGATCTTCATGAATGATACAAGAAATTTCATTTTCAGGTATTTCCGAGGCTTCATCCACAATAAAAACGGGAGCTGATGCTGGTGAAGAAGAATCATGAAATAATTTTTTGAGACATTTGGCGTTCTTCAAAGAAAAACCTATAACTGGGGCGTCTTTCATAAACTTGGATAATTTCTGCAATCGAATCTCATCCATTTTACTGTTTGATGATTTGATTGCATGAGTATAAGTTTTGGATATAATCGGATCGTAGTAGTTTGATATGATTCGATTAAACATATGTCGATATCGTTTACGTTCATTTGTTGGTATGCTCCAAATATCTTCAGTCACATGATACCAAAACTGATTAATGTCATTTTCTAAATCATTTGGGAATCGATTTTTTTTATTAAACAAATGTTTCTGATCTTGTGGTAGGCGATCAATTAATTTGTTAACAAATTGTAATTCTTTAATATTTGAGGAGTAAATGTTATCGGGGTCATTTGAATCTTCATCGAATGACAAAGTCGTTTCCAGCTCTTCGATTAATGAAAACATTAAGGGTAAAGAAAATTTCGAATAAATATGAGCAGAAGAATCATCAAAAGGATTCTCAATATTTGCAGATAAAATTTCCTTTATAGATTTTTTTTCTAAAGAGAATTTAAAGGGTCTAGGTATAGTAAATTCTTCAAATGAAAATCCAGATAATTCTTTAGATCGTTTAAGCCCCGATTTTGGTGGAGGATCACCAGACAGCCAAATACATAAAGCTTTCAGCAATTCATTATCTCTAGGTTCATAATTAGGTTTTTTTCCATTAAGGATGGACAATTGCATACGGAATTTTTTTGGAGCTGATTTAAGAAAGTAATCATCTGACATGAAAGTAAACCGTTCTTTTGATTTTATCAATAGATCGATTCTTGTATCTTTGAGATGATCTATTTGTTGATTATATGAAATATTGATTTCATTATCAAGATTATTTATCTGCCGTCCAGCAAGTGAACGATTTTTACATTGCTTAGATGAACCAACACGAATTAAATTCGGAAATTTGGGAAGAAGTTCTACTAATATCTTGTCAAGTGTCTGGGAGCTTTTTGTTATAATAATTGTAGGAGCAGCACTACGTCTCTGCTTAAGAGGCTCTGAAAGAAGTTGAACAGCTTTTGTAATCAATAAAACCTCTGATGTGACTAAAGGGATTGTTTATGATAATATTTCGTTAATAAATAAATAAAAAATAAATAATTTCAAAATTAATAAAATTATTATTACCAGGAGCTGCGTTAATGATTGCAACTCTTGAGTGCATAATATGATGGAGAGCTTTCTTAATTGTTTCTTCACATGAATAACAACGCCTATTTTTATCTGGATCTACAGAATATTTTGGCCATTTGCCATTCTGACAAATTTCGATTTCAACACCGTCAGGTAATTTAATAG